GGGAATATGGGGTGGGGGGTTCTGGGTCTCCTCCCCAAATTCAAAGTCTCCCCCAAGAAGGAATCCAAGCTCAACTCTTCTCTCCCCTTAAGAAAAATGGAGATTCAGAAGAAAAACTGAGGTTGCAAAAACACTTTTGCGAAAAAAAATCTTTTTCTTATACATTTGATGGCCTTTGTGGATTTAGCTCTAAAAATGCCTCAGTTTCCCTCTTACACTTTCGCTTTCCGTCCCCTTCCTCTTTCAGTGCAAGAAACTTTGGGGCTCAGGCGCTAATTCGGGGTCCGCAAGGTCCCCCTCCCACCCAGCCACGGGGGGGGTGGAGACAGAGAGGGGCCCGGCTGACTCTTATCCCACATCGGCTGCCTTCCCGGGACCCCCGCACACCTCGGCCACAACCAGGGAAGGGAGGGTTCCCTATTCTCCTGCGGGGGGAAAATACAGTGAGGGAGGGGCGGAGACCACGCGGAGATCGAGGCTCCTGCAGTCTCCCGCCCCTCTTGCCCTCGACCCCTTTTCCCACTACTGGGGTCCCAGCCCCTTTCTTCCCTCCTTCCCAGGAGCACTGACGGCCCCTCCCAGCCCCTCTCCTCCCCCCTACGAGCCCCCTCCTTACCGGGGGTCTCCTTCCCCCCTTCGCTTCCGGGGATCCGGATCAGCGCCCCCACCAGCAACAAAAGAGGGACCCCAACAGAGCCCATGGATGCCGCCCCACCAGCGCCCCCAAGAGAGAGGGGAGAAAGACGCGGAGGCTCCCAGCCCCAGAGGCGGAATCGGTGGGTCTGGCGGGGGCGTTTCCCTCGAACTTCGGTATTGGGAGGGCCGAGAAAAGCGGAAGGACCAATGAGAATTCTCCCTTCTTCATCGTCATCGGTCTCCGGGCAGAGCCTCCCTTGAGTTCATCCACAAGAGGAGATAGTGCGAAGCCCAGAGAGAAGCGGAGAAAGTTGGGAGGGGGGGGAATCCCTTCAGTCGGGGGGGGCTGCATTTTAGGGAAGCGTTTGATGCCACCTCCGGAGAGGAAAGGGAGAGGCACGCGCACTTCCCCTGCTACAGGAAATGGGCTGAGAGGAGGAGGAGGAGGAGGAAGGTCGTCAGGAGGGACTCCAGGGCCCATGGTTCCCAGCCTCTCCTAGAGGAGGGACACAGGCTTGTCAGAGGAGGGGAGGGAAACCTACCGCAAGAGGCTACCGGAAGACGCCCCCTGGAGGATAGATGGGGAACCGTCGGTCCCAGCGGGATTCCCCCTTAGTGGGGGTCGTGGGAGGGGAGGAAAATAAGGGAGGGGGGTAGCTTCCTGAGGGACCCCCCCCATCTTCCCAGGGTGGAAACAGGCAGGCAGAAGTTCAGCTGGTCCAGCACTCGGCCTAACACTGTAGGAAATGTTAGATCCCGGTGGGGCCTCTTTCCCCCCCAAAGTGGCAGGAAATATGGGGGGAGGGAAGAGACCCCCCCCCTCTGGGCTGGAAGGGAAGGAATATCCGTACTTCTTTCTTCCTCTCCCTTTCGGGGGCATAAGGAACGGGGGTGACAATAAGGATACCCACACCCATGCTCCTGGGATCTCCCCGCCCTTCAAGCCTCGCCTTCCCTTTTCCTCTCCCCCCCCCTCGCCCCCATCTTCACAACCCACAAGCTGTCTTTGGATGCTTTTCGAGGCCTCTTTCCACCACCCCCGCCCAAATAGACCCCCCTGCAGCCCTCCAAGACCCTCTCAAAAGAAGGGGCTCCAGCCCCCCTCACCAAAGAAATCGTTTTGGGGAGCCAATTTAGGGGAGCAATTCAGACCCCCCATATCCTTCTCCCTCAGTTCCCCCCTCCCCTCCAGGTCCCGAATCAGCAATGGGGGAATATGGGGTGGGGGGTTCTGGGTCTCCTCCCCAAATTCAGAGTCTCTCCCAAGAAGGAATCCAGCTCAACTCTCCCCTCC